ACCTGTCAATTTACTTTGTACAGAAAAAATGTTCCTATTAAACAGGACTTTCCAACCATATACTTCAATTGTCCAAATTCATTTTTAAAAAAAAGTTATAAACAAAAGTCAAAAAGGTGGCCGACCTAGACTATGTTCCCCTACTTGTCTATTGTTAAATAGATATTTACTTGAATCAATGTTTATTTAAATCAAATAAATTCATATCGAAAATTATTTGAAGCAATAATTTCGCAGAATTTTAAGCAAATATAATTTAATTCACAATGAATGAAAATTATTCGATGAAAATAAATATTTATTTCTATAATAATCAATAGTTTCGGTATTTAAAGCAAAATTTATTTTATTAACACAAATAAAAATAACTATTTCGTATAAATAAATATTTATTTGATAATAGACAAATAATTGTTTATTTGAACCAAGTAAATTTTTTTTTAGTTTTATAAAAAAAATTATATAAACCAAAGAAAAATTATATTTTAACCAAATATAATATATTTGAGCCAAATAAAAGTATACTTCTCTCAGAGCCAATTAGGTTATTTATTTCTTTTAAATAAACATTTTCTTTGAGTTGAATAAAAATTTTTATTTGAACCAAATAAAGTTTTATTTGAAAAAAAGTTGATTTGAAAAAAAAGTTGATTTGAAAAAAACAGTTTATTTGAACAAAATAAAGTTAATTTGAAACAAATAAAAAGTCCAGTTGACTCTGAGACAAATATATCTCTTTTTTCTGGGTGTACTTTCAAAATATTGCACATTCTGAGAGTAAAGATAAAAAAACAAATTCTCAAATCACAGCGGAGTTTAAATTTAAAAATTTAGAATATCTTCCCGTCGATGTAAAACTTTTAGAGTCAAAATACATGGAAAAAAATCTTCACCTAAAGAAATATTCCAAAACAGCGATATTTTTTTCCAGAATAACGAAACTTTTTTTAATAGAAACAACTAAAGATTTCGCTAATGCAGCGAAATTTCAAAATTCTAAAAATTTCAACAAAATTTATTTCTAGCAAATTTTTTTTCCCTGTATAATGTTTGACACCAAAAAAAATTAATTAATTCGGAATGTTATTTTAAAAAAAAATTATTTTTTTAAAATTCTGTATAAGATATTTTCATATTAGAAATATGTATTCTAGCTTCTATGTAAATATACATATGCATTATAGTTTACATAGACATATGTATTATAACATTTTAGCCTTTATAGATAAACTATATGTATATTTGAAAATACTAAATTTACGTGTATAAAAGCTTCAAGACATAGATTTCATTACTATTAGAGTATAATATATTCTTGAGAAGCATTATCTGTAAAGTAATTTAGTAAGAATTGCCCTCAAGTCCTTTATTGAACCGGATCAAGGCCAATATTTACATAAAATACTAACCACACGTGTAAGAACGCGTTTTGTGCTAACATTCAAATAAAGACTATTATTTAATCGATTACTATATAATAGAAGAATGAAAATTATGAAAGAATTTCAAGAAATTGATTTTTTTTTATTTTTTTTTTAGTAGAAAAAAGAAGAGAGAAAAAGCGAAAGAAAAAGCGAGAATTAAAGACTTTTAAAAAACAGTGTCAAAGTCAAAGAAAATAAAAAAAAAACCTGTACGTTTGTAAAATAAATGAAAATAATTGAGTAGTCGTTGATTCTATAAGTAGAAAGTTTATATAGGTACATGCTGCTGTACAAAAAAAAAGAACGGGAAAACGAGTTGAATTTATTTACATTTTTTGGTAATTTTTCAATTTTTCAATTTTTCAATTTTTCAATATTTAATAATTAGAATAATTTAATCATTTTTATCATTTTATCTAATTTATAATATTGAAGAAAATATGGAAAACTTGAGGCAAAAGCTTAAAAAAAATTCGTCCCCTATGAGACTTGCTATGATTAGACGACTCTTTTTCCTGTCACATATATGCTTTTGCGAATATTATTTTGCAAAAATAGTTTCCCGAGTTCGTAGGCGAGCAAAGTGTCAACTTTTCTCTTGACTGCTTTGCATGTATTACATCCTGCTTCTCTAACATTATCTCTTTTATGGATATTTATGGAATCGATTAAAAGGCACTGATAATAAATTTCGTATACATGCTTTACTTAATAATTTATAATTATACTGCCTTCAATACTCAATTACTATAAATTTCAAAAGAAAACAGTAAATTTAGAAGAAGAAAAAATAAACTTTAAACTTAACTAAAAGTTAAATAGAAAGTTTTAAATATAAAAACTGAATGTAAACTTTTAAATAAAAGCTAAATGTAAACTTCTACCCTCTAAATTAGAATTGGTAAAAATGTTTACTAATTTGCATTTTAGTGAATGACTTCTTGCTTTTGAATTAGTAAATTTTACCAACAAATTAATAGAAATTGATATTTATTAGTATTTTTTATTTTTGAATTAGTTAACCTTTACTAATAAATTAGTAGAAATTGCTATTTAATAATACTTTTTGCTTTTAAATTAGTCATTAGTCAGGGAATTCTGGGAAAAGTCAAGAATTATTTTTAAAAGTACTGGGAAAATTTTTTAATATATATTTAATTAATTATTAAAAATAATGGAATTGTAAAAAAATTTCACTTAAGAACAATAATAACATTGACTTTTGGAGAAATTATAAATGATGCAGTAATTCAATTATTTTCAAAAGTATAATAAAATTCTTCGAAAAAGTTCAATTATGTTCAAAATTTTTTAAAAATTCTCGTCAAAACTCAAAATTTCAATTATTTTCAAAAATTTTCCTCGAGTTAATGATTTTCAATATCTTTTATTTTTATATAATTTTCCAAAAGAATTCAATTATTTAAAAAAGAATTTGTTATGAAATTCTACGCAAACATTTATTTATTTTCATAAATATTAAATAATTAACATTTTCACAGGAACTGAATAATATACAAATTTTTTAATTTCTTCACAAAAATTCAATTATGTTCAAATATTTTTAAAAATTCTCGTCAAAATTTCAATTATTTTTATAAATAATAATAAAAATTTTCTTAAAAATTCAATTAATTTTCAGAAATTTTAATAAAATTCTTGACAAAATTTCAATTATTTGCAAAAATTCTTCAATGATTTTTAATATTTTTTATTTGAACAAAATTTTCCCAAAGAATTCAATTATTTAAAAAAAATTGTACACAAACATTTAATTATTTTCATAACTATATTAAAAATTTCACAGAAATTCAATTATTTACCAATTTTTTTTTCGTCAAAATTTCAATTATCTTTCTAAATAATAAAATTCTTCTCCAAAATTCAATTATTTTCAGAAATTTTAACAAAATTCTTGTCAAAATTTTAATTATTTTCAAAATTTATTCTTAAATCAATAATTAAAAATTTTTTTTAATTCACGGAAAAAATATTTCACCTGGAACAGCAAAAATTTTCTCTAGAATAAAGAAATTCTCTGAAACAACTAAAAATTTCGCTTATATAATAAAATTTACAGTTGTTCCAGATAAAATATTTTTTGAGTGTTTTATTAAAAATTTCCCAGAAAATTCAATTATTTAAAAACATTTTTTTTAATTCTATGCAAAATGTTTTTCATAAATAATAAAAATTTTTCAGGAATTCAATTATTTACCAATTTTTTTTCGTAGAAATTTCAATTGTCTTTCTAAATAATAAAATTCTTCTCCGAAATTCAATTATTTTCAGACATTTTAATAAAATTTTCTAGGAATTTAATTATTTTTGTAAATAATAAAACTCATCGCAGAATTTTAATTATGTTAAAAATTTTTTTTAAATTCTTGTTAAAATTTCAATTATCTTTAAAAATAATAAAACCCTTCTTCGAAATTAAATTATTTAAAAAAATTTTCCTCAATTCAATGATTTTCAATATCTACCATTTTAATAAATTTTTCCAAAAGAATTCAATTATTTAATAAAAATTTTGTTAAAATTCTACGCAAACATTTAATTATTTTCATAAAATAATAAAAATATCACAGAAATTCAATTATTTACAAGTTTTTTTTATAAATTTCTTCGCAAATCATTTAATTTTTTTCATAAAATAATAATTATTTTCACAGGAATTCAATTATTTACCAATTTTTTATAAATTTCTTCGCAATAATTAAATTATTTTCATAAATAATAAAATTTTTTTGAGGAATTATATAATTTTCATAAATAATAAAATTCATTGCAGAATTTCAATTATTCTTAATACAATTTTAATCGAATTTCTCGAAAAATGTAATTATTCTAAAATGCAATAAAATTCTTTATGAGAATTTAATTTTAAGAAATATTATAAATAATATATTATTCAATAAATTATCTATTTATTTTAGCATTTAAATAATTGAATTCTCATGGAATTTTTTAATAAAAATGGGCTTTAAAATGAATTTTAGTTAAAACTTTTTGAGTAATTTAATTTTTAGAACGAATTTTTAAAACGAATCATAATATTTTTAGGGTCAGACAAAAAGTCAGAATTTTGTCTGGAAATCAGTAAAAAACAAAATTAAATTTTTGTGGCAACCCTAATTAGTAAATTTTACTAATAAATTAGTAGAAATTGTTAATTATTAGTACTTTTTACGTTTGAATTAGTAAATTTTACTAATAAATGAATAAAAATGACTATCGTTTAGTAAAATTTACAAAATGTAAAAGCAAAAAGTCAGTCACAATAATAATGAAGTTAACTTTTTTATTAATTCAAATTTAGACAGTGAATAGAAGCTAAATATAAATTTATAAATAAAATGTAAACTATTAAAAGAGAAAAATTCAAGGAAAAGGAAATTTTTTTTTAAAAACTGCAAACAGTGCCTTTTATCGATTATAATCTCTCTACATAGACAATCAATATAATTTCCAGTTGAAAAAGTATGCAAAGAATCATAATCACACATTCACAATGATTCATTGTACTTTTTCACTGTCACTGGAATTTTGAAAAATGACAATTAATTTTTTTAGGAACAAATCGCGAAGGAGAGGGAGGTGAGGGGTCGAGTACAAATTCACGTTTGGTACGAGGGAGAAAGAAAAGAACTGGTGGTTTCTGTTTTGGCAGCAGACAATCTTTGTACAAGAGAAGACACAGGTCATGGAACAATGCCTGAAGCTTATGCTAAATTATCCTTGGTTCCAGCTTGGTGAGCTTTCTTATAAAATATGTATTTGAAAATAATCTCACTGTCTGTCTCTCTCTCATCTTCATTTACATCATTCAATGTTACATTCTCTCTCTTGAATGTTATGTAAAATCAATTTCGTTCGTTTATTGAAGTTGATCACCATCATCGTGATTGTCACCGACCAACATCATCATCATCCTCCATCTTCAATGTTCAATAGTAATTATTGATATATTTTGTATCAATTTATAAATCTAATTGCATGACTTCATTATTATCATCATAATCATGAATTTAAAGGAATACTAAAAATTCGTTAATTTGAACAGAAAATTTTATTTTCATTTATTTTTAGAAAAAATAAATGAAAATAAAATTTTCTGTTCGAATTAACGAATTTTTTTCTACTCTCTAAATTTATTTTCCCTGAAATTAGCGACGAAAAATATTATTTGCGGTTTTTAGAGACAAAAATGTCACTAAATTCACCTCTTTATTCACCTTGGGAATTAAAAATAATTCCAGAGTAATTTTTTAACCTGAAACCATAGAAAAAATTATTTTATAATTTATACTTTTCGATTTTGTAAAATAAATATTTTGTCGCTTAGCGTCGACGCTAACTTCAGGGATTTCTAAATTTGAATTAGTGAAAAGTCGTCCACTAATTCAAGTCAGTAAAAATTTCTACTAATTGTTAGTAAAATTTTACCACTTCAATTTGTAGTTTTTTATTTACTTCAATTGGTAGTTTTTTTTGTACTTCAATTTGTAGTATTTTTTACTAAAGTTCCAGTAAGAAGTTAATAACAATTAGTGGAAATTTTGACTAACTTGAATTAGAGTAGACTTTTCACTAAATTAAGATTTAGAGAGTAATTTAAAAAGACACAATTATTTTTCTATAAATATTAAATAATTATTTATTATTAATACACTGAGAAAACAATATAATATATTGTTTGATTCAAATATTATTTGAATTAAACATAATTGTCTTTGTTATGTCAACCAAAAATTATTTTTGAATTAAACATTATTATTAATTATTATTATTATTATTATTATTATTATTATTATTATATTATTATTATTATTATTATTATTATATTATTATTATTATTATTATTATTATTATTATTATTATTATTATTATTATTATTATTATTATTATTATTATTATTATTATTATTATTATTATTATTATTATTATTATTATTATTATTATTATTATTATTATTATTATTATTATTATTATTATTATTATTATTATTATTATTATTATTTTGATTCAATAAAAATGAATTTTAATCCAATTACAAAATATGTTTAATTCAAACATATTTTTTTGATTGGCTACTTATTTTTCAATTTAAAAAAAAAAATTTTTTCACAGTGTATTAAAACACTAATTTACTTTTTCTTTGTTTAATTTAATAATGAAAATTTCCTCTTTCAATGAATTTCAATGAAAAATTCCCTCGTATTGAATGAAAATGTTCATGTAGTAAAAAATCATGGTTTACACGGTATACATTAAAGCAAAGTCGTAAACTAAAGAGTGAATTTACTGAGAGTTTTTAACTAAATGTAGAACTAATGTAACTTGATCACTCTCAGTGGAGACCACAGCTCGTTAAAAACAGACATTGCGGAAGCCGATCACAATCCAATCTGGAACGCAACCTTGAACTTTACGGGAATCTCCGGTGAGAAATTGATGGATCGAACGATCGAGGTTAATCTCTGGGACAGACTTCCAGAAGGAGAGGATGTCTTCCTTGGGGAGTGCAGCGTAGACTTGCAAAATGCTTTCGAAACTGATAGAGCTGTTTGGTTAGTAATTTTATTTGACATTTTTCAAGTTCCTCGAGGCAAATAATTTTAAACACATTTCCAAAATATTGGGAATATTACCAAACTTCAAATTGTGGAGAAAAAATACTTTTTACAAACCAAGTTTTTATATCATCATACTATTTATATTTCATACGATATATAATTCTCTGTGAGATGTTTCTCTATTATTCAAAACTAATTTTGTAAAAATTGCGACAAATATTTTTAAACATAATTCCCAAAATGAAAATAATAACCAAATTTAAAATTGTGGAAAAAAACAAAATTATAAATAATAAATAAATAAATAAATAAATAAATAAATAAATAAATAAATAAGTAAATAAATTATAAATAATCTATTTTAATAATTAATTATCGAAAGCTACGCAATCGATAATTAATTTTAATTAAAGTATCAAAATGTAAAATTTATTTCAATTCAATTTAAAAAAAAAATATTATTAATTCGATTTATTCCTAATAATTAGCAATTAGTCAATTTTTTATTTTACGGGCATTCAACTATCGTTAAAAAATTTTAATTACAATAGAATTAAAAATTATAATGATTTTAATGCAAAAGCTTTTTGAAATTCAACAATTTCTAAAAATTACAACTCTAATAATTCAATTATTTTATTATTTAAATTCAATTTTTCTTTAACTTTTTAATAAAATTATTCAAAACTTTAATAATTATTTAGAAAAAAAATTAAATTAATAAATTTTTAAAATAAATAATTAAATATTATTATAGTTTTACAACAAATATAATTTTCAAAAATTTCAATTCAAAAGTCTTATGAAATTCAATTACTTCTAAAAATTCATACAATAACGCTTCTAATATTCAATTACTGTCTAAAATATTAACTGAAATTCATTTTTAATTCAATTCTTTTTAAAAAGATATAGGAGAATTCAATTATTTTAACAAAAAAAAATAATTAAAAATAATTGATTATTTCTTAAATTCTTATAAAGAATTCTTAAAGAATTTTATCAAAAAATTTTATCAATTTTTTAAAATCATCGATTTCTTTCAAAGAATTAAAAAAAAAATTTTTAAATAATTACATTTTACAAAGAAAAAAATTTCCTATTAAAACCTATTGAAATCCTGCGAATAATTTTACTTTTCATAAAAATAATTGAATTCTTGCAACGAATTTTTTATTAGGAATAATTCTTTTAAATTAAATTCCTTTAAAAAATTTTATTACTTGCACATTGAATTCTTGCGAAGAATTTTATTTAAATTTTTGAAAGCAATTTAATTTTTTTAAGCATTCTATTATGAAAAATTCATTAAATAATTTAATTCTTTAGAGGAGTTTAATTACTATTGTATTGAAAATAATAACTTAATTCTTGTAAACAATTTCATTTAAATTTTTGAAAATAATTAAATATCATCAAAGAATTTTATTAAAATTTAAAAGAATAATTGAATTATTTGAAATAATCTAATTATAATTGAATGAGAAATAATTGAATTCTTGTGATGGATTTTATTATTTATGGAAATAATTAATTTTTTTTTATTATTTTAAAATTATTAAGAGCCAGTTTCACCAACTTTCGATTAAAAGTTAATTAATGATTAAAGACAGTTTAAAGACTTCTGATTGGTTAATTGAGGATTTATTCATTGATTAACTTTTAATCGTTGTTGGTGAAATCGGCCCTTAAAGTTTTATTGTAAATAATTAAATTCTTATAAACAAATTTTATCAAAATTTTTGAAAATCATTCATTTCTTTCAAAGAATTTTATTAAAGTATTTCAAATAATTGAATTCCTGCTCTATAAATTTGAATTAGTAAAAATTTTTAATAAAGTTTCACTTATTTTTAATTACTGTAGTTATTACTAATAACTAGTAATCACTACTAATTTACTAGTAAAATCTAATAATTCAAAAGCAAAAAGTAAGTCTCTAATTCAATTGTATTTATGAAAATAATAGAATTTTTGCGAAGAATTTTATGATAATTTTTTTTTTAATTATGTTTTTAATTATTAATTTTGAGTAATTTTATTAAAGTAATAGATATTGAAAATAAATTTCAGCGAAGAATTTCATTATTTGTAGAAAAATAATTCAAATTCATGCTAGAAATTTGCTTGAAATTTTTGAGAATAATTTGTATATTTTAACTATTATCGGATTTAAATTAGTGAAAAGTTTCAATAAATAAAAAATAATTAGATTTTCGTGTCTTAAAAAAAAGCATTGAAATAGTAGCAAATTGTAAAAAAAATGTAGTAAATAGTTGGTTTTAGTAGAAGAGTGAAAAGCCTGATTAATTGCACTAATCTACTAATTAATAGCATTCTTTCTTGTCGCCAAAAAAAAAGGTTCTCGTCTCACTAATTCAACTTCCGTTGGTAGTTAAGGCAAAAGTAGTTCAACTAATCACCTATTTTCAATACATTATTTAATATTATTTATAATATTATAATAAAAATTATAATATTATTTAAAATATTAATTCAACATTATATTACTTTTTATACTCGTCCATTAATCAAAATTAGTAAAAATTTTCCCTAGTTTCGCAGTCTCTTTTTACTACATTAGACTAAAACTTTACAAAAACTTACACTGGAAAAAAAATTATTTGATTCAAATAACCCATTAAATTATTAAATAAATATTTACTTGAATCAAATAATATTTATTGAAGTCAATTAAATGGTATTTGAACCAATAATTTCAGTATTAGAAACAAATATGAATTGAACCAATTAATTGACTCCAATAAATATTATTTGCTTCAATTAAATATTTAATTGATAATAGTCCAGTAATCAGTTATTTGAATCAAATAAATTTTTTTTTCCAGTGCACTAAAACTGAATTTAATAAAAAAGAAAAATAAAATAAAAAAATTGCAGGTATCGTTTGGAGGATCCGCGGGGAATTCGAATGGGCAATTCACGTTCACCACGTGGATCATTGTGCACAGAATTAGTTCAAAGATTGATAAGAAGAGAAATGCAACAGAGAAGCTACAGCGATGACACGCACAGCGAAAGTGGAAGTCCCGAACCGTGCTATCTACATCCGGATCATGCACTTTATGCAAATTCCAGACGAGGTTCAAGCCAATCAGAACAACTTGAATTTGAACCCTACGAATTAAATAAGGATTACAGTCGATCTTTGCCAGGAAGTCGTAGAAGTAGTTTTCAGAGTCAACAAGGAGGAGGAGGAGGAGGAACTGACAGCAAACGTAAAAACTTACGAATATTCTATTTCACTTATATAATATTTTAAAGGACAACTTTCATTATTTTCACAAGCATTCCTCTATTATATTTTCTTTTTATTTAAAAAGACAACTCAATAAACTCTATGGCGAAAAAAGAGGAGAAATTTGGCATCCCTTTAGGTATTGAAGACCAACTTTATTGGAAATCTTAAAATAGTTGAGTGAAGGACGAGAAAGCGACTCTCCTTCAATTCTCTCTATTTTGCTTGAAAAACTTATTCGTTTCGCCCTGAGAATACTATTCTACTTTCAGAAAGACTTTGGAGTCACCAGCTTTAAGTTAAAGCGAATTCAAAGATTTTTTTTTTTTTATAAATTCAAGTAAAAGAAGAATATTTATACTTCAAATACTTATAATTTATACTTGAAAATAAAAAATATTTATCACTTTATTCTATCTTCGTATTCCGGAACAAATTTTTTATAGAATCAATTACTATTATCAGTATTATCACTTTTGATACAATTACACCTTTCAAATTGAAAGCAAAAAAGGGCTTTAAAAAAGGACAACTTTCTTTACACTCGGGGGAGAGAATTTAGAATTTTACGTTCAATTAATGTAAATAAAATACAAATTGACACCATATATAAACATAAATATAGTAGATCTATCGAAAGGGAGAGAAACGGTTGGATAGAAATACCCGCTCTAAATAAAAAGAACAGACATTTAAATCAGGGGGAATTACTAAAACAAAATAGTAATTTTGTGTTTCTGTTGCAAGGAATAAATCGACAATTTTCTTTTCCTTTTTTGCCGAAATTTAACACAAAACAAAATTGTTCTTTTTTTTCTTTTCCTCTTTTAACTTAAAATAAAATTTACCAGTTTTCGACTATATCATTCAAATAAAGTGCTGTTCCTTTCCTGCTAATAAACTATAAAAAAATTTATTTGATTCCAATAACCGATTACATTATCAAATAAAAATTTTTCTTGAATCAAATAAACTGTATTTGAATGAATTATTTTAGTATTTAAAGAAAATAAGTGAATAATTAATTATAATAATTAATTTAATTGATTCAAGTAAATAATTATTTGATAATAGACGGTTATTTGAATCAAATGAATTTTTTTCAGTGTTGTCTAAATTTATGTTTTCACCAAAAAATTTAATTTTGTTTTCTCGATCAAAATTAAAAACATTTTAAATTAGGTTTAAATTTTAATTCATTTATTTATTATTTTTAAGGATTTACTTATATTTATCTCATCTATTTTTGTTTCCAAATTACTTGCCTCTCTTTTTCTTTCCCTAAAAAATGTTTACTCTCTAAAAATTTCTCTTTAAAAATGTTTAAAAATGTTTGTTTTTTAAAAAATATAGAAATTCTTTAAAATTGATTTTAGGTGAAATATGATTGCAAAAGGGAATATTAAAAATGTAATAATATAGAAAGTTATAAAAAAAACATTTTTCAGTAAACTTACAGTTGTTTCTCTCAGCTTGTACCTACGATCTGCATCCCAAAGTTGTTGTCGTACATTGTCAGCATCGTTGAAGCACAAAAACACTCACTCACACACTCACCTGTAAAAAGAAAAAAATTAATTTTTAAGTTTGATGTAAAAATAAAATTTTGAACGAAAACAAAATATGTTTTTGAATTTTTAGCTAAAATTTTTCTTTAAATCAATTATTTTTAATAATTTTTGTAAAAGTTTCTTGAGAATTTTCTAATCCATTTATTTACAATTCAATTATATGAAATCTTAATTATTCGGAAATTCTCCAATTAAATATATATTAGAAAATAAAAACTTTAAATAATTTCAAAAAAAAATCCGCAATTAAAGTTTCTCAAAAAAAAATTAATTCCACAGAATTGTTAGTTGAAAATATGAAAAATTTAAATTTCCAAAGATTTTAATCTGAAATCTTTTCAAAATTCAATTATTTCTAAAAATTTACGCTCTAATGCTTTTCATATTCAATTATTATTTAAAATTTTAACTGAAATTCATTTCTAAATCAATTTTTATGAGAAAATTTCACGAGAATTCAATTATTTAAATACAAAAATAAATAATTTATTAAACAATTGAATGTTTCATAAAATTTAATTCTCATAAAGAATTTTATCAACAAAATTTTTAAACAATTGAATTCTTTTGACGAATTTTATTAAATGTTTTAGAATAATTTTATTTTTTGAGAAATTCGCTTAAAATTGTTTTAAAAATAATTGGAAAATAGTTAAATCCCTGTTAAAAATTCTATTATTTATGAAAATAATGAAATTATTGCGAAGAAATTTATAAAAAATTTGAAATAATTGAATTCCTTGTTAAAATTTTATTATTTTATGAATGTAATTAAATGTTTGCGCAGAATTTTATTAAAAATTTTTTAAATAATTGAATTCTTTTGGAAAATTTTATTAAAATTTTTAAAAATAATTGAATTCTTTCGGAAAATTTTATTAAAATTTTTTTAAATAATTGAATTTTTTTGGAAAATTTTATTAAAATAGTAGAGATATTGAAAAATATTAAATTAAGGTTTTAATTTGAAATTTTAGATTGAAAATAAATTAAATTAAAATTAAATTTAATTTAATTTAAATTTAATTAAATTTTTAATTGAAAAATCATTGAATTAAGGAAAAATTTTGAAAGTAATTGAAATTTTGTCAAAAATTTCAACAAAATTTCTGAAAATAATTGAATTTCGGAGAAGAATTATTTTATTATTTATACCGATAATTGAAATTCTGATGAGTATTTTTAAAGTTGTTGAACGTATTTGAATTTTTGCGAAGAATTTTATTACTTTTGAAAATAATTGAATTTCTGTAATTATTTGTAACTTCTCCAAAATTCAATTTTTTTAGTATTTTTAACTAAAATTCTTTTACAAATTTCCAATTAAAGTTCATTCAAAATTGAAATCTCAAACAGTTTTAAATTAAAACCTTTTAAAGTTCATCTATTTATCAAAATTGTTAACCCAACTCTATAAAATTCAATTAATTTTCAAATATTTAAGTAAAATTATTAAATATTATTTAAATATTATTAATTAAATATTATTTTCATTAAATAATTTGAGTAATAATTTCATGATAGTTCTTCAAAATTTGAGTTTTTTAAAAAGAAATTATTGTCAGAATTCAGAAATAGAAAAAATTGAAGGTTTTGTATTAGAATTCGTGGTAATTTCATAGTTTATGAGGCAAACAAAAAAGACAACAAAATTCAGAAATTTCTTATGAATTCTAAAAGTTTAATTTTTCCAGTACTTTTTAATGAAAATTCCTGATTTTTCCCTGATTTCCCTGACCAATTCTACTTTTTCTGACTTTTCCCTGAATTTCCCGGCCTGTGGCAATCCTGAACAAGTAAAATTTTAATTTCATAAAGAAAATAAATTCTTTTGTTTCGTATAGTAAAATAACGAACGTTCAAAAACAACTATTTCGATAATTTCTGTCTAAAATTAAAAAATATTAACAACAATAATAATAATAATAATAAAAATAATAATAATTTGCAGGAGGAAGTATAGGCGAATCGGAAATGCCAGTTTACTATAATAGAGAACGTCGTCGCAGTTCAGTAGCACGTTACGCTCGGGATCCAAAGGAAATCCTCGAAGGACTCAAGTCTTTGCAATCAGGCAAAAGCGAATTGGGAAGGACGTTGAGTCTCACCGCGGACAAGAGACGAAGCAGCAGTGAGTAATTTCATATCAACAGCTTCATTTGCCATCATTGTACTAATCTTCGTCCCAAAATCCATTTCTGCTCACTCCCATATTTCTCCTCTTTCTCTAAAATTCTATATAATAATCAATCAGCCACGCATTATTGTTTCTCACAAGCATCCTTTTTGGCAGGGTCGCCTAACGATCCTCCAAAAAAAAAAAAAAAAAAAAATGAAAACGTTTTGTGTCACATGTTATCAGTATTTGAAGCATTGCTTGCATCTCACACTTTTTCACTCCTCTCAATGTGTATTCGTCTAATGTTTCTCTATTTGTCCTCGTCTATACAATTTAGTTCTTTTCTCTCTTCTTTTTATCTAGTTCATAAAATTTTTATTCTTTTTTTTTCTTTCAAAAATCTATTTCTTTCGAAAACTTATTTCAATTTATTTCTTTCGAAATATTTTCTTTTCTTTTTTCTTTCGTATTTTTGTACACATGCATTTTTCTAGTTTTCTTTTTTTATTTTTTGTATGCGTGTTCCATTTGCGCGCTTTGACCGAGCGAACGTCAGTAAATATTTATAAACTAAAACTTTAATATTTTTAATATCAAATAACAGGCGTTTTATTTACAGAAAAAATGTGGATGAAAATTAATTTTATAATAGATTTGATAAACTTGATAAAATTGATAACAGATAATTGACAATTGACTGAAAGGAATTTATGATCCAGGACCGAAGCATCATTTCTTTATCATATTTGTTGCTATAAGTGTTTTATTCATCATCCTCGTTAAATATTGTGTTTATTTAAACGAATTTTAACGATGAGCTTCACATTATATTTGAAAACAGTGTTTCTCGTTTTCTGATTGTGTCTTTCATTAAAAAAAAAAAAAAAAATACATGCTTTCACGTGTGTGAAAATATTATAATGTACTTTTTTGTCATTAATATTATATATTTACATATGGAAATTGATAATATATGTTATAAATTTGTTGACTTGCCATGGCATTAGCACGCTTGGGCATTTGCACATTTAATCGTGCACGTGAGACATTGATGCTATCGAGTCATCATCCTGGTTGAAACGTATATGACGTATCATACACGTTCTATTCTGTCTCTTCTGCTATCTCTATTCCTCATGAGCGTTCATAAGCATCCAAACTTCCGGCAATGCTATCCATCATTCATATACGATAGCGATATAACCAATATTATAGATTTTATCAAATATCCTCGTATTTTTATTCGAGATGAATTATTAATATATATATTTTTTTCGAGTAAAAAATATGTATTTTCTACACACTAAGAAAAATATATTTTTTTTTTATTTACCCATATATGCAAATAATAAAGTGCGAAAATTGATTTTTAAAAAATGGAAAATCAATATTTTCAAGCAATTTGCATGCGAATCAAATGTCTATGAAATTTACAATTCCACAATTTAACCCACAGTCATGAATTTTGTCTAAATTTCTAACACGCGATGATTCAATAATAAATTCATGTATGGATGTGTATAAATTGCAAATGGTGGTTTTAAATAGTCCGCTTATATTAGTGGAGAAAAGTTTTTTTAATCACTTTCACGGAAAAAAGAAAATTGTTATAATTATAGAAAACAGTAATTTTATATTTAAGAGGAAAAATCATCTTCTTGTTTCACCAAAGTCAAAGCAACATTTATGGATGAGTCGAAAAAAAATACTTTTATATTTACCTTTGGTGAAATACTTTTCCAGGCAAATTTTTGTCTCAAAAAATTTCTACAATGTTTCTTGATCGGAAATTAAAGAAACAAAAATTTAGTAAGCAAAAAATATTATTGGCAAATTATTTTACGAGGCTTTTTTTACTATTTATTAGTAAAGTTTACTAATTCAAAAGCAAAGAGTCATTCACTAATTCAAATTAGTAAATATTTTTACTAATTCAAATTTAGAGAGAATGTAGAATATTTCTATATAAACTTTGTTGGTTGATAATTAAGAATAAGTAATGAATAATTTACAATTTATTTTAATGATAAATAATTTAAACGTAATTTTAATTTATTTTAAATTAATTAACAATAAACAAAATTTTTGCGATCAACAAATTTTGATCATTCAAAAGATCGAAATATCTTCAGAAATATTTTCGGAAATTACTGAATTAAGAAAAGACTTAAACTACATTTTTAAGGATTTCAAGAAAATGATTCAAAATCTTTCATAAAAATTATTTTTAAATATAAAATATAAATATAGAATTATTTTTATAGTTATTTTTTGAGAGAAAATCAATGGTCAGAAAATATTCTGACCCTTTTTGAATTTTGGTTTTTCTTAAAAATTTATAGATTTTAAAATCCATTTGTAATTTTGTAGAAAATGTTTTTGTATCTAGAAAAGAATTGCCAAATAAAAAAATCGATCTTTACAATTTTTAAAGCATTTTTTGAAAAAAAAAGAACATTGATTTTAGATTAAAAATGCTAAAAAATATCATTGTTAGGTACACAATTTTTTATATAGAAATTCATTTGTTTATTTTTCTAACTAGTTTTAAATCATAATTTTTTAAAAATTATTTCATATTTTTTATTTTCAAAAATTATGATTTGAAATTAGTTAAAAAAATAATCTAGTAAATTTCCATATTAAAAAAATTGAATAACAATGATATTTTTTAGCATTTTCAACCTAAAAACAATTTTTTTTTTAAATGTTTCAAAAATTGAGCTCCCGGATCAAAGAAGGGCACATAACCCATTTGAATTACATTGGTTATGTGCCCTTCTTTGATCCGGCAGCTCAATTGTAAAAATAAATTTTTTCATTCAGTAATTTTTTTATATAGATGCAAAAACATATTTTCAACAAAATTACAGATGGATTTTAAAATCTATTAATTTTTTAGTAAAATAAAAATCCAAAAAGATTATTGCAATATAAAAATTCAAGTTGAAGAAAAAATAAATAAATTTCTTTTATTTAAACGATTAGAACATGTTTTGATGTTTCAATGTCAAAAATATTAAATGAACATTTAAATCCACTTATCCAAACGTTCAAATGAAAGAAATTATTTATTTCTTCTTCAAATTAATATTTTATTACAATAATTTTTCATACAATTTTTTTTATGTGTTTTATAAATAATTATTCAGGAATTCAATTATCTACAAATTTGATATCGTCTTCGCAATAATTCAATTATTTTCCTTAATAAAAAAAATTCTTTTTACAAATTCAATTATTTTCATAAATAACAAAAAATTTCAAAGGAATTAAATTATTTTCAAATTTTTTTAAATTTCTTCGCAATAATTCAATTATTTTCATAAATAACAAAAATTTTTAAAGGAATTCAATTACTTTCAAATTTTTACAAATTTCTTCGCAACAATTTAATTATTTTCATAAATAATAAAACTCATTGCAGAATTTCAATTATTTAAAAAAAAATGTTAATCGTATTCCTCGAAAAATGTAATTATTATTAAAAATTATATTGAAAAATATAAAATAAATTATATTGAATTTTTGTAGAATTTTCTAATAAAAATTTATTTTAAAATGAATTTCAATTAAAATTTTATATAGTAATTGAATATTAAAAGCATTATAATGGGAATTTTAAGAAATAATTGAATTTAGAAAAGGTTAATTATTATAAAAAAGTTTTTGAGGGATAAAATAAATTTCTCCACTTGAGAACGCCAAGGTCGCCACTAGATGGCGAAGAAATTTGATTTTATCAACCGACTTGCCATCTAGCGGTGATCTTGGCGTTCACAGGTGGAGTTTGTCAATATTCGTAATTCTGTAATTATTTATAATCAAATTTAGAGACTTTGTCAAATTATATAAACAGATTTCAATTTTAAATTTACTTTCCTTTTCTCGATATTTTTATCCCCTTCAATTTTTTCAGAGTCTTAGAAATAATTTCTTCACTTTAAAATTGATATTTAAAATCTCGTCTTAAGAAAGAATTTGATGTACAGTCAAAACAAAAGTTAGTTCAATATCATAATTTCGTAATTTAAAAGAAAAAGACAAATTAAATTTTAAATTCGTTTTAGTGGGTAGGCGAAGAATTTAATTTTGAACATTTGCATTTGAATAAAAATTACAATTTCCTGTCAATAAGAAACATTTGTTAGATTTTAGGTTATGTTACTTAAATAATTTATTATTGACAAAAAAGTATAATTTGTATTCAAATATAATTTCAAATTATTCAAAATGTAGAAAATTAAATTCCTTACGCTCCTACAGAAAAGAATTTAAAACTTATTGTGACATTTTCTTTTAAAATACGAAATTATGACAATGGACTAACTTTTGTTCCGATTGTCTGTCAGATTCTTCCTTAAGAAATTAATTAGTGACTTTTTAACGAAATAAGTAATTTATTGAAAAAAAATAGCAGCTAAATAGTAAGTTGTGTGTGGTGAAAAGTGTCGCGTGAGTCCGAGTAAAAATATTTTTTTTCAAGAACAAATGAAAATTGTTATTAACAAAAACAATTCCCCTTTTTCCATGCACCATTTATATTTTTCTTAGTGTACATAGAAAAAATAAAAAATTCACAGAAAAATGATACCTTCTATAGTAAATATAAATGTGTGGATAGTATTTTACCGGAAGTGCATTGACCACATTGCCTGACGTGTCTGCATACATATTTACAATCTATATCTAAAGTCAATTGTATAACTCTCTCGATCAACAAGAACAACACAAATGAAACGCAATCAAAACAAAAACAACAAGAAAATTGTTGTCGATCCTTAATCGACATCTATATATCTCGACTTCCGGCTGGTCAGCACCAGTTTTCTCTCTTTGTGTTCTCTGTGCGTCGTTGTGAGCTTTGTCGTTAACAAAAATCAAAAAAAAAAAAAAAGAGGTACTTTTGTCAAAAAGCGATAAGAAGTTTTCATATATTTGTTTATATCCATCATGTTTGTTTTTTCTCTCTTTTCCAACAAATGCAAATAAACGCCCGTTTAACTGCCCGT